TTATTGTTGTACAGAGACCTGAAGCTTTTATTCTGACCTGTGTTAAAGGTCGATATAATATAAAGTAAACCAAGTCCAGATGTTTACACCTTAAGATGTGTGTATCATGTACAAATACTTTAATTAAATTAATAAGATATAGTAAAATGCTGATTCATCCATCCATCCATCCATCATCTTTCTATCCATCCATCCTTCCATCCATCCATCCATCCATCCATCATCCATCCATCTATCCATCCATCCATCCATCCATCCATCATCTTTCTATCCACCCATCCATCATCCATGCTTCCATCCATCCATCCATCCATTCATCCTTCCATCCATCCATCCATCCATCCATCATCTTTCTATCCATCCATCCTTCCATCCATCCATCCATCCATCATCTTTCTATTCATCCATCCATCCAACCATCACCTTTCTATCATCCATCCATCCATCCATCCATCCATCCATCCATCCATCCATCCATCCATCCATCCATCCACACCTATGTTTGATCCTAACCCTTGTATGTCGCCCTCTAATGTTGTAGCGAGTAAAGACGTGTGTGTGTGTGTTTCTTGTGTAGCTATACTTGTGGGGACACTCTTTGGGAGAAGTGTTGAGGGGACGCTTTTCTTTGTATGGACAGTTTGTAGGACATTCTGTAGGACATTTAGTCTATTTTTAGTTAGGAGTCAGAATTAGATCAAAGTTGGAGAAAACGACCCACATTAGACGTACATTAGTAACAGATAATGTTGGGTGAGGGGCTTTCTGTTTATGTTAAGTACTAACAAAGCACAAGAACCAGTGTGTGTGTGTGTGTGTGTGTGTGTGTGTGTTTGTGAGAACCATTGAGGTGACAGGTGAGGGGGACACATTCTGCACCTTAGGTGTGAAGGAGAGCTGGTGATGGAGGGGTTATCCAGAGGTGGACAGTAAATCTCATCTGATTGTCTGACAGTGACACAACGAGGACTTTTACTCTGAATGTTTCAAGTTGTTTTTAAATGTTCTGTGGTGAAACGGAAATAAAGGACAAAAGCTGCTAATACACACTCATACATAATGTCAATTTTGTGTATTTTTTTTAATATTGTCAGCTCTTCTGCAGCGACGTTGACTTTATTTAAAATGACGATCAAGAAGATTAAAAATAAGTCTTGGTTTTTGTGTATTTTTTTTAATATTCTCAGCTCTTCTGCAGCGACGTTGACTTTATTTAAAATGACGATCAAGAAGATTAAAAACAAGTCTTGGTTTGAAACGAGACACAATTCTCACAGACCCACAGTCTCACAGACCCTCAGAGCCACAGACCCACAGACTCACAGACTCACAGACTCACAGACTCACAGAC